TACCGAAACGTTTCAATTGATGGGACAAGTTTATGTCGATGATTGCCTTTGTTTCAACGTTTTCAAAGTGGTCGTGAGGACATAAATGACGATCAACATGTGGGCCATTCAAAATTCGTGATCACCGAATATTCCTTCGCAACTGTGCGTGAATTCATCAAAAATCAGCCGAAATCATCATTGAAATTGATGGAAATGGAATTGAACATCTCCAAAACATCGCATTTTGACCGAACATTGCTCAAAATCCGTCTCATCGATCGTCGCTTGTGACCGATTATTTGACCAAAAATCACATTTTAACCATTAACCACTCACCGTATTTACCTGATATGGCACCGTGCGACTACTACCTCTTCGGAAAAATGCCTTTGCCCATGAAAGGAAAGCGTTATGCAGACGTAGGGGCCATTTAAAAGGCTTGCTCCGGCATACTGGCGGCCATACCGGCCAACGAGCTAAAACACTCGTTCGACATGTTTTTGGATCGTGCAAAAAGCTGTATTGAAGCAGAAGGAGACTTTTTTGAATAAAATAAATTGATTTTGCCGAAAAAAACCATTTGTTCTGTTTTTTTTTTTGTTCAAAAAGTCCTGTTTACTTTGGAACAAAGCAAACTGCATGCTTTACTTAAGAAAAAGAACAAATTTCATTGATATTTTTTAGCAAACAAAAAAATATTAAAAATATGAACACTTACAATAAAAAGTAGTTAAAATAAATAAGTGAATAAAGAAGTATTTTTTGGAAATCAATGTTAGTAAAGCAATAAACTTAAATCGACACTTATTGTACCTTAGACAAGTCTCTCCCTTAACTACTTTTTTAACTGCCCCTTTCTTATAAAAGGGCTATATTTGAAAATGTAATTCAAGTGTCGTTAAGTAACTTTTATTTCGAACTATATGGAATTTGATAAAATTGTATTTTCTGACTTTATTGAAATGCCTTTTGCTGTCTGTCTCTACTTGTAGCTAACATTCGGTGCGAAGGCAATTTGACAGTGGGTGCGCTTAATTACTTACAATGCCACGCCCACTTTCTGAATGTGTGTTAGTGTGTATGCGTGAGGGTGAGAGTTGACCGCCACTTGGGCAAGATTAAAACGCCAGCTTAGTGAAGACTTTTGCATGTGAAATTAGTAGCTTAAACTGTGAGGCTTGGCAGACAGACAGACTAGCAGACAAGCGGACAAGCAGACTGGATGGCAAGAAGGCAAGCAGGCAGGCAGGCAGGCATGCAGACTAAAAGCGTAGCTTGTTGTGGCATGCACTTTACAAGCACATGGATGCAACACATTGTCTAATTGTGTGCGTATGCTATGTGTATGCTGTGTGTGTGTGTGTGTTTCTGTTGCACTGCATGCGTATGATAAAATAATTCACTCGACTGCAACTCATAAATTCTCTAAGGTAGCGCATAAATTTTCAACAAATCTCGGCAAAATGCCGCAAAGCAGCCTCAAACCTCAGACAGCCCAGCCATTCAGACAGCCACCGAAGCCAATTTCTGGGCCAACCCTCCATTTCTCCACTTGAGGCCGCATGCTTAGCTTAGTTAGCTGTTGTTGTTGTTTTCGTTGTTACAGACAACAAAATACGTGTTGATGCAATGAAAAGCTTAAACTAAAACACTTGGTATTTGCTTTAATTCAGAATAATTAATCCAAATAGTTTTGCATTTCCCTATTTAATGAGGCCTATTCTATGAACACCTAATCAAATGAATCCAATAGAATGCAGAAAAGTGCAGAAATTTAAAGAAATACCATAAACCCGCAAAACGACATTGGTTTTAACCGTAACTGACTTTTTTGTTTGGCTAAATTTGACAGCTTTTATTCCGTATTTCTAACGGTTCTAATACTTCCATCTCTGGTCTGTGCAAAGACATTTTAGTCTGCAAAAAAATATTTTTAAGCAAACTGCAAACTAATCTTAGTCACAGCAAGCAAATTGGTTGTCTAATATATACTTATATTTGAAGTAAAAGCAAAAGCCATTTTAATTCTAATTAACGTATATTTATTTTCTTTGAGTGATGCCTGATAGTCTTCAAATAATTGTTAAGCTAACAATTGATTGAATGCTATAACTTTACAATCAATGCATTTTAAACAGCATATGAAAATAAAATAAAATAAAATGGAAATTTGCAATATATTCACTGCAAAGACCTCGCCAAGACATAATCGTATCAATATCTAAGGCTGCCAAACCAAGTTAACGACACAGTCTCAAAGAAGACATCCTTCACTTTAGAAAAATACAAATCCGGATAATGAGAGGAGATTTAACAGTGTACTGCATCGTATTCCTAATGGCCAATAAAACTGCAACTGTGGAAATGAGAAAGAAGTAGAAATCATCAAACAACTCTGAAATTGCTCTGCTCCTGTATGAAAATCAAAGGAATATCTGGGCTAACCATTTCATACTTATTAAAACTTCTATCTTCAACTTTTACTTTGCTGTTTTAGAAGACAAGATGTCAGCTGTTGGTACTATCCAAGACGCAGCGCCAAGCCACATCCCCCGCCCATGATTGATGCACATCGTAGTATTATTTAATCTGACAATTTTATTTATTTTGTTATTAATTTAAAAAAAATGAAAAGAATACAATTTTATTCTACTGTCGTTCGAACCTCTGTTGGCATTTTAAAATTTATACGCACATTTTAATAAAAGCTATAGCCGCTGCTATTACACAGTTCTACTATACTATATGCTGTACCTGGATTAAAACAATTTGTTGCAAAAAATGGGCAGATTTACCAAAAATATGCTCGCGCATAAATTGCACAAAACTAATGTAAATCGCTGCAGATAAAAACACTATTTGAACCGCACGCATAAACAACCAGAAGAGGCGCAACAACACCAACAACAATAGCACACCAACAAACAAGCGAACTTAAAATTTTATTGCTCACGCTCTTATGTCAACATTTTTGATTTTTACACTTGATAAAAATCAATGCATTTTTATGGACCAGAGCACGCCACAATGAAACGAAGATAAAAGGCAAAATAAGTGGAATCATGTAAATAGTACAGCAAGCAAAAAGCAAAAGTATGCAGTTTACAATGTAATGTGAAGGCAGGAACAACGGCAACAACAGCAACAACAGCAACAACAGCAACAACAACAGCAGCAGCAACCGAAAAATTACCATTTAAAAAAATGCCAAAAATTGTTTCTGTTGCATTTTGCACGCATCATTGATGCTCAATGGCGTGTGCACACACTGATACAAAATGGCGGCGGCGCTGTATGCCGATGGGCTGGCATGGGAGATGCATGTGTGTGCGTGTGTGAGGCCATAAAACAAAAACTTTTCCACAAACTCAATTCGTTTTGCACGCCTTGTTGTTTGGTCTGCAACATCGCCCATTCCTTTTGTCCTTCTAACGTGAACGCGCACGCCTAAGTAAATCACAAGGTTTTTCTTTGGCAAGTTGCGCTAATAAACGAAGCAGCGCAGCAAGGAGAAATATTTTTTTTCCAACTTGCTGCAACTTTATGCACCCAAGTCACATAAATCTCATAGACCGCATACTGCGTGTACCTTTCGCAGTTGCGTTCTACCTCTCTGAACTAGTTCAATGATCAAATAGTTTATTTATTTATTTATTTATTTATTTATTTATAAAAATCAACAAATTTACTGTCAATAAATAATTGATAATATTAGAAAGTAAAATAAAGATATTTATAGTATTACATTATAAGTTAAACTTAAAAGATAAGAAAGCCTAAGGGAGAGCTATACAATGACGTCTATTAATGCCTCCGACACGTTGGGGGAATTTTATTTGCCAGTTGGCCAGCTATGCCCCGATTCACAGCCAAATGTGGTCAGAGACATTAATTGAGTTAAACATTGAAAGAACGAGACAAAGTCACAGTAGATTTTCATTTGTGGGATCATTTGAAAACACTAAGGATCCTTTGTACATCCATAATAAATAAAGTTCAATCAATCTAAGTGAAATTCTCAGTCGGTTTCTGAGATTCAGGAGAAAGGTTTTTTTTAAGGATGAGAAAGTTTTAAATAAAAAACAAAAGATGTTTCCTTTACACATTATTGATAATTGATTAGAATTTTTAACTGTTCAATAATATCACAGAAACCGTTTTTTAAATACTAAAAAGGCAAAATATATAGTTTATTCACATTATTGTAACCTATAATTAATTCTAAATAGCAATGAGAGAAACTAAGGCCTTCAGGCTGAACAAATTAATATTTAAATATACAAATGTAAATAATAAATACATTTCATTAATTATATAAGTACATATTTTATATTATATATTTAAACTATTATATACCTTCACCGACTGAATGGGGAAATTCTATTTGACCAACTACCTATGCCTCTATTTATGCCATAGAATAGTCCTACTCCTTATTGATTGATGATTTCCCATTTAACTTTACTTAAAAAACTGTCACAAACCGAATCGAATAGATAGAATCCGAGTTATCGAAGACAAAGTACGATCCACACACAACATTCGAACGACATCATTAAGAAAAGACAAAATCTTCTGTTTTCAAATGGTTCCTGAATACATGCTTCAAATAGAAGTTGATGAGTTTTAACGAAAGGAACTAGTAATCGGAAATTCCTCCCATCTGGCCAAACGGTTATTACTGTGTTTTATGTTAACTTTTTTACAACTTTGCAAGAATATTTTTTAAAATAGACATACAATGCTTTCTTATATTGAGAAAAATAACTTTCTTTAATCAGTTAATATATAAGAAAAAACTACGCCACAATAATTAATACTAGTTTTAAAAATGCCTTTCTTAATTACACTATATCGCTTTCGTTTTTTTCACGCTACGGTGCGAGGCTTTATCGATTACATTTCATGGCCGAGAATCGGCAATTTAAATATGAATTAATTAGACACAGTTACGAGCTGACGGACACATAAAAGTCTTTGCGTTCATTGCTATGAGTTCAGAGTCAGAAAAATGAAATTGGTAGCAACTATCTTCTTCGGTAAGTATGACTGATATATGTAACAATCATATTCTTTAATACGTGGCGTTTAATATTTCGTTACAGCATGCTTATTGAGTGCAATAAATGCCATGATAGTTGATTATTGCCACAGAAATTGTGAAGGAGCTTATAAGCCTGTCTGTGCTTGGAATGGTATTTGTTCTCAATTCTTTAATAATATTTGCGAAGCAGCCGTAAAAAACTGCAGACTCAGACAAAATGGTAGACGAGGTAAATCCATATAATAGTTACATGCAATGTAGAGCAATTTAACAATATTTACTTCTTCATAGAATTTACACATTTTGTATATAGGAGGTGTATTACAGCAAGGCTTTGCAGCAGACAAATAGGATGAAAACACATCGCCCATACCTCTGAGAAAATTAGCTGTAAAGAAATGTATGTTATTTTAATCAAAAAATAAACTACATATTTCTGTACACATTTTTTTGTTTCAATTTCTTTTCTCTGAGCGTGCGTCCAAAAATAATTAAATATAATTTTAAATATAATAACTTAAGATAGCAGTATACTTACTTACCATACCCAACTAATATTGATCATTTATAATTTTTTAAACAGAGTTTCTTATCTTTCTTATTCTCATTACTTTGCTATCTATTGTACACAAAAATTTGTGTATTTGTTAAATGAAGCTCCTTTAACGTACAACGAAGGACATTCAATTTAATCTTCAAGGAATACGATATTTATTTTATATGACAAGCTTACTATCTAGGAGTTATATGCAAACGGTTTTTCTTATACTGTTGCATTTTCCTTGAACATATATTAGTCCGGTCTTCTTTGTAATTTCCTTCTTAATTTTAATGAAAATTTAATTGAATTAATGAGCATGAAAATAAAACTACTTTTAAAAGGTAAATAGACTAAAAAATGTTCGGTAATTTATACTTTATATTTTAGAACTTAATTTCTTTCGTAAAGTTATATGCTCTCTTAAAATTAAAATTCTAATTTCTAATAAATTTGAATGCGAATTTAAGCTTGATTTTCAGATCATTATTTTCTAAGAGTGTGTTATTAAATAAATTAACAGTTTTTGGTACGCCATGTGTCTGGTCCGTATTAAATTAATTATATTGTTCACTGTATATATTCTTATACACAACTCTTATATAAAACCGAAAGAAATCCCCTATAAATTGTATATTGTAGAACATTTCGGTAGAACTCAAGATGTTATTATATCAGAACCGATTAAAACAATGTATCATTGCTATATGCTGTTAATTCCGATTGAACTCTAGTTCGACCGAAAGAAATCCCCTATAAATTATATATTGTAGAATGTTGTGTAACATTTCTGTGGAACTCAAGAGTCATTATATATGAACTAAATAAAATAATGTTGCATTGCAATACGCTGTTAATATTATTTAATTCAATTAATTGATTTAACTCTAGTTCGACCGAAAGAACTCCCCTATAAATTATATATTGTAGAATATTGGATAACATTTCGGTAGAAGTCAAGATGCGATTACATCAGAACCGATTAAAATAATCTAACATTGCTATACGCTGTTAATTCCGATTGAATTCTGGTTCGATTGATAGCCCTACTGCAAGTTCGTTCGCATGTGTGTGTGTGTGTGTGTGTATGAAAGCAAAGTCCTTGTTGGGCTCTCCATAAGCACTCGGTCACACAAACACACACACACTTATTGATTAAGTTAGCAGCTTGGATCGCTCGCTCGCTCAACGAGGACAACGGGATGGCGGTGGCTGCCGACATGCACTCTGCGGCGAATCCCTTAAGATTCTAATTTATATCACTGTATTTCATGTGAAACTTATTTCCTATTTCCGCGCCATGCGCGCCCCTTCGAAAATGTCGTACGTGATTCAATTATAAAATGCGGTTTTCAAATCGTTGCAAAATTTATGTATTTCATTTTATTTTTGTGCGCCGGATGCCGCCGGCCTGCCTGCCTGCTCTGCTGGTTCTGTTGGCTCTCGTTAGCTACTTGGCCGGGCCGCTTGCTTTGCTTACTTTTTCATTTGGCCTGACACATATATATAAACACGCACACACACGCCCATATGTGAATGCGCACCATGTGCGTGGCCATGTGCGTTAAATTGAGCTCTGAGTTTACTTTGGCCCATTGACTGCGTCGGCATTTTAATGGACTGCTCATAAAAATGCATAAAATGAATGCAAAAAAAAAAAAAAGTAAAATAAAAGACGGCTAAAAATGTATTCTCAAATTTATGCGCGAAGCCGCCAAAATGTTTAAACAAAATGAACGGCCAGACAGGCTGCCGGCCTGCCAGGCATTTCAACACTTTAACGCCACTCGAGGACGCCTGAAAACGGCAGCAGAACGAAGGGATAACCAGGACACGGAGCACTTCAGGTGGCCCTCATAGTTTTGCGCCTGCTTGGGCGCATTTCAAGCGCACACAGCGCATTTTCCAAATTAATTATGCACTTCCGGTGCCATGAGTGTCATTGCAAGCGGCAGGATTGCCGCGCCACTCCAAGTCCCCACTTTCTAATGAAAACTACTCAAGCGGCTATCTTTTGAATGTCGACGCGCACTAATAGCCTTTCATTGTTCAACCGCCAAGCCACATTGAACAGTGTGGTCGAATTAGGATTTGCTTACACAGCGCAAGCTGCTATGGTGAGACAAATACGGGCACACCACTATTTTACATGTTCATCTAATATTAATTGGAGATAGTAGCTACAGGTAGTTAGCTTTGCAACTGCCAAGATGTCTAAAAACTAAATATGTAATCGAATTTATATTTGTTTCCTCTCCAGTATATGTAAAGAATCATGCCTGTCTAAATTTAGTTATTATTTAATTATGTTCTTGCACTTTTCTTACTCCTATGCAAAAGCGTACGCAGATTTGTTCAAAAAGTAATATGTTTATTAAATAATTAATGCATACGATTAACAGACAAAAATCCAACCCCATTTTAAGGCGAAATACTATAGGGTTTTTTGAAAAGTGTTCATCGTATATTTCATTTATATTCAAATTTTACTACTGTGTACATATATGAGGTGGAAATATGAACGGATGTTTCGATTGGGACATTAAAGGAAGCAGGACCGTCTCAATTAAATCAATATTTAATTGTTGTCAGGAACTTGACCTACAGCTATGTTCTGTAAGCGAACCGCAATTTCTTCTTTTCAAAAATGTTCGCCCTAAATTTAATTCCGAACTCAGTCATTTATATCCACATTTTATCGTAAATTCGATTTGTATGCTAAAAATCTTGACTGATTGTTAGGCTCGTAAGCACAAGAGTACTGTAGAGAACATTTGAAAAGCAGAACTTAATGCTTTTAATCGAATAACGTCATATTTTTGAGCATTTTTCTTTACATTTATTATATGCAAATTATAGTAACGATAAAAGAGAGAGGCAATTATTATCTCAACAATTAAAATCGATTGAGCTTTAAATAAAATAAAATCAAATTATAATAAGTTAATAATTGAACAACTAAGAATCCGATTTATGTAAACTCAAGACGATGTTTAAGACATTTAGCTGCTTTAAAAATAAAGTTGTTTATTTATGGAAGGACTTATTTCAGAAATTCTCTCGGGAAAAAAGTTGCACTACTAACTTATAGTTCCATCCATAATTTTACCAAATCGAAATAAAATTGAGTGAGATTGTAAGATTTTCGAGAAGCTGCCACGGCTAATTGGAGAATAAAGCCACCTGCGCTTTCCTGCTCTTTAACCACACAATCCATTTACACACTTAATTGCTGATTGACCCCAAAAGTTGCATTTAAGGTTGCTGATAATGGCTTGTGGCTAGCGGGCTGGCTGGCTCACTGGCTGCCTTCGCTGTTCGAGTGGCAGCCAAAACTGTGCCATGGTATCTGCCGAGCTGTAAGTGTGTGCAGTGGTGCTCGGCTTTTGCATTTTATGGTTTGCCATTAAAGTGGGTGCCGTTTTTACCTGTTGTCTGAAAAAGTAAAAAAAAAAAAAAAAACATAGGAAGTAGAAACTGAGATATGACAGGCAAATGAAAAATGTATTTTCATAAAAATGCATTTAAAATGTGCTGCCACAGAGCAGGAAGAGGGGAAGTTGTTGCTATTGCATATCCTTGTACTCTTGCGTCGTTTCCTTGACATTTATTTGTTCCGCGTGTGGCAGTTGCAGTTCCATCATTCACGCAGCTGCTGCCACACATACACAAGTCATAAATCGCAATGCGTGGATTATGCAATTTTCATGTTTGTATTTGCCAGACGAAAAGGATAGGAAAAAAAATGACAAAACAAATGGGCAAAAGAATTGTATGCGATGCGTTACGTTGCGCAGCGCTGAGCTGAGCTGAGCTGCGCTGACAACAATCCTTTACAGTTAGCATTGATGTCACAACGTTGGGGAACAGCCGAACAATAAAATTATAACACAGAGAAATGGCTAAATGTATTTAACAAGAAGAAGGCACAACATGCATATGCAAACTCGTATTTGTATTCATGCGACAATGGCCACCCAGGAAGCGAGCAGTGCAGAGGAAACTTAAGTAGCAAGCAGGATAAACAGGATATGCACTCGCTGCAGACTGACAACGGAAGCCATCAAACAATGACGCACAAGATGCTGTGCTGGCAACAATATGACAATTTCCCATGGCATGACACAGCAAACAACAACTAGACACGGTATTATGGCTAATAGCAAAAAATGCGACCGACTGTAAGTAAAAACTCATGCAATTTCTGAATTTAATGTTGTTTACATACACACACAATATCCATGCGTAATAAAACGCCCTTGGGTGCAGCAGGAAATGTCATAAATGTTGTGAACAAGGAGTTGGATGGAGCCTTGAGGCACAGCTACATGGAACTTGTGTTGGCGCTTGAGGGCTTGTGTTGAACAATTTATTTCTGCTGTTCCTAGTTTATAAAAATTAGTCCCAAAAAGGCAGCTAGTTGTATATACTTGTATGTATTGAATGCATTCTAAACAGACTTATATTTATATAACACAAGTGTACTTATAGACTTACTTCTCTAGCTGGCAAAGGGATTGTCGTAGTTGCGGACTAAGATTTTAATAATTGGTCTGAAAACCTGCACATTTTGTTCTACTTAAAAGCTTATTTATCAAAACGTTTTCTATATTTTTTAGGAAAATAATATTTATTTTAATAATATTAACATTTCTAATGTAATTTTAAATATATCGGGCATAGGGTAAAAAGGGTATATTGGCAAAGTAAGTAACGCATTTCCGGACCTTCTGACCTTTTTATTGAACTGTATTCATTAAGTTCTGCACACGTTCTTTTATTGCAGTAGAGCCCGAGTAGTTTTTCTCGTTAATAAGCGAATAAAGTATTCAACAAATCGATCAATAAAAAATACATTTTTCCAAATTATTTAATTTCAGTTGTTGCGTGCGATTACTTTTATGT